GTAAAAATGTGGATGTGTAACCGATGTGATTCTGCAATCTGTATACGGAGTAAAAATGGGAGTTCATAACCCACTTGAATCAAATGTATGAAATATGATATGTCAAGAGCTATGTAATGTTTTGAACAACTAATAATAAAAATAAAAAGAAATTTTAAAAAAAGAGGCTTCTGTGTGTGTCAATGAGGGTGTGTCTAGGAATGACTGGCATGTGGGATAGTGCACTGAAGTGGAGACCCTCCCTAAGCATGGGCAGCACCATCCAATAATTGGATAGTGGCTTGGATGAAATAAAAGTTGGAAGAACAAAGAGCAGTAGCAGATGCAAGCTCAATTCTTGAACAGGTTCTGGATTGCTGATGTGATCACCTAAGGATATTGGATTCTCATTTCTTCGCTCTTCCAAAGCGGACTCTGCCAGTGATTCTCCAGGGAGTGTTTCCAGAAGTATTTGGACTAGGGTAGCACAATTGATTCCTCTTGTTCTGGGGCTTCAGTCTCTCGGACTGTGCAGCTACTGGCTCTTCCAGCTCTCCAGTCTGCAGATGGCTATTATGGATTATCCAGCTTCTGGTTGCATAAGACAATCTAATACATCATCTTTTTATAATCATATTTCCTGTTGATTCTAGAGAACTCTGACTAATACACACATGTATGTTAATGTGACTCAAGAAAATTATCTCCAAAAATGTAATTAAAAATAAAGGTATGTGGCTCAAGTGGTAGTACGCTCTCCTGGCATGCGTTCGGCCCGGGTCTGATCCTTAGCACCACATAAAAATAAATAAATAAATAAATAAATAAATAAAGAAAGAAAGATGTTGTGTCCGCCAAAAACTGAAAAATAAATATTAAAAAATTCTCTCTCTTTCTCTCTCTGTCTCTGTCTCTCTCTTAAAAAAAAAATAAAGGTAAACTCAGCCAGTGGATCCGTTACTTCTATGCTGATCATCTATTACAGCTAAAAGAGCAAAATAGCATTAGCCTCTACCCATCCCCACCATAACCATCACTGCCCTATCAATATTGGTCTAGTCTTCTGTCTCACCCTCTGTGCTTTATCACCTCAATTCCACAGAACTCCTGCATATTATGTGTCATTATTTTTCATCAAGAGGCTGTACAAAAGTCACTTCCTGTTGAAATATCTCCTCAATCTCCATGCTCATGTTAGCATAGAGTAAGCAATTAATTAGTACTTGTTGACAATGACTAATAAATATGGACACCTTAGCCCCACTCACTGATAGTGCTTGCCAGTTTATTTAACAAGTATTTATTGTGCTAGGAAGTCCCCATTTTCCCAGGGTTCACACTTCACTAAAGATAGAGGACGCTATGTGTCTGGTACACAGGGGATTGAACGTCAATAACATCAACCTGGAGCAAAGAACATAGGAAGCCAGGATAGGAAAAAGTCTTTGAATTTTCTGGAAGGGGAAGAGAAGAGAATGGGAGAATGGGGTTGGAAGTCAGGGCTTCCAGAAGATAGGATGCTAGGACTGCAGTGTGAGTAGGTTGCCTGCTCAAGGTGCATGCAGGGACCCTTGGCAGAGAGGTACATGACACATTCAGGGCAGGAAGAAGCTAGTGGCACACAGGGAGGAGTGGGGAAAATAGAAATGAAAAAAAGGACAGGATGAGATCCCTTATTGGAGCCTCCACTGACTCCCCAGAGTGAATCCTCCATAGCACCCCAGGAAATTACATCAACCCAGCCACCCAGCAGATGGTGACAAGGGCTGGAGGTGGGAGGAAAGAGAAGCTCCCACTATAGGGAGAAATAAAACTACCCTTGGCACTGTCTATAAGAAACACTGCACAGGCAATTCTCTTCAAAAGGCCAATCCAGAGGTTGAAGGGGTAGCTCAGTTATAGAGCACTTGACTAACATGCATAAGCCCTGGATTTGATCCCCAGCACTGGGAGAAAAAAAATGGCTAACCCAGACCATCCTGACCTCTCTAGCCAGCAGCTGAGCAGTAAATTCTGATTATTCTGATTAAGTACGTGTATATTAGAGCAGGCTCCTCAGACAGGACTTCTGTGAAAACAAAGGTGTTTGAATGCTTAGCCTAAGGGCAAACACCTGTGTCCAGCCCCTTTCACTATAGAACAAACTGGTTTCATTGGAAACAATGCACTTTACTTTCTGGTTAGAATTTCTTTGTATATGCATATACCAGCTGCTGGTGAGACTCTGGTTTGAAAGCTCTTGAAAGCTACAGGTCTCCAACAGCAGAGGAGCAGGGCATCACTGAAGAGGCGTTAACAAGTGGCAGATGCCTGTAGTCCCAACAGCTCGGGAGGCTGAGGCAGGAGAACTGCAGATTCAAAGCCAGCCTCAGCAGCTTAGTGAGACCTCGTCTCAAAATAAAAAATAACAAGGGTGGGGATGTGGCTCAGTGGTATAAAGCCCCTGGGCTCAATCCCTGGTACCAAAATTTTAAAAAAATTTTAAAAGGCCTCAATGTGTCAAGAAATACTGCTTCTCCAGTTGAATGCTTTGACAGCATTCTCCAGCACAGAAGCAAACACCCTGGTCTCTGCTCTCTAAGAGTCTCTTGGTGTCTCTAGATGAGTATTACAAGCAACTGTCACCATTACACCCTACTCACTGACCAGCAGAGATATGTGAAATAGTTGCCAAAACCTACCTGTAGTTCTGTTTTATCTCTAAGCCTCAGAGCACAAAAATGAAAAGTTTTAAAAGTTTACATTGACACATTCAGGGCAGGAAGAAGCTAGTGGCACACAGGGAGGAGTGGGGAAAATAGAACTGAAAAAAAAGGACAGGAACATAGCAAAATATAAAGCTCTATCTATATGGTAATTTTTGTTGTTGTTGTTGTTAATCAAGATCACTGAGATGATTGCATTAGGAAAAAAGTACCACTGTCTAATAAAAATGATGAACCAAGAGCTAAGTAAGGTGAGTCCTTTCATCACATAGAAACTGAGCACTAGAAGAAAATGTTAGGCTTTCTGAATTTATGACTAATAAATGTCCAAAATTAAAAAAGAAAAACTATTAAAGTGTGGTGGAAAGCAAATATTGCTGCCACCCTAGCCATCTACAGTTGTCAGTTTCTTGTGTATCATGTAGGAAACAGACTATGCATAAGAGACATGAGTGTGTATATACATATACATACATTTATATATATATATGGATTTATAATACAGTATAATTGGTAGCATACCATACCACAGTTCTAACCTTGGTTTTTTTCTTTCTCTTATTTTTTGAACCCCAACATTATGTATAACTATAATGCACTATTAAAAAAGAAATGCAATAAGCAGATTATGTCTTTTAAAAGTTATCCATTGCCATTTCCAATGCTTTGGTTTTAAACTGATTCTTTTCTTAGGCAACTTTATTCTACAATCCATCATTTCAAATGTGTATGGGTCTACATTTAGGATAAATTCTTTTTTTTTTTTCTGCTACTGGGGATTGAACCCAGGAACACTTTACTACTGAGCTACACCCCAGCCCTTTTTAATTTTATTTTGAGACAAGGTGTTGCTAAGTTTCCCAAGCTGGCCTTGAACTTATAATCGTCTTGCCTCGGCCTCCCAAATAGTGAAATTACAGGCATGCACCATTGTGCCAGGCAATACGGCCTTTTAAATGTATCAGTTCATCCAATATTATAGTAATCTATAAGGTAGGCATTACTATGATTCCTATTTCTCAGATTAAAAATTAAGAACCAAGAGGTTATAGAATTTGTCCAAGATCACATAGCTCATGATGGTACAGCTGGCATGCAAATCAAGAGTCTATTGTAAACCTGTCATTTCCAATATAAGATTTATTTGTTGTTTTCTAACTTTTTGAGTTGGATCCTTAATTCATTTGATTTTCAAGACATGTCATCTATTAATTTAAATGATTTAAACTTTGGATTTTTTTTTTTGAGCCTTGTTTTAGCTACATCCCATAAGTTTTGAATTATGTAGCTCACTATGATTCTCCTTTCACTGTTAGAAATTTATATTATGTTAAATGTTTTTAAATATTTTAATATTAAATATTCATATTTTAATATCGATGAACACAAGGAGAATTAACATTTTTACAATGTTGAGATTTTCCATTCAGGAACATGCCATTTTTAAAATGTAAAATAATACATTTATTCATCTGCATTTTATATTTAAAAGCTTTTATTTTAATAGATTTACTTCTATTATGATTTCTAACCATTGTTGTTAGAATCTATGAAAACCATAGATATTTATGTAATTCTGGACTGTGCCTTAAATGAATTCTCTCAGTTCTAATAGTTTTCAGTTTGTTTTCTTAATTCTCCACTGTTCTTTTTCTTGCTAATATCTATATTTATATAAAGATATTCATATACCATATTATATAAATTAATATGTTTTCACATAACATATATGAACATATATAACATGTACCAAAAAATTAAGTAACTGTGAATTTATATTCTTTCTAATTTGTTTTACAGGGGTGCTTTTTAACTGAAATTTTCTTTGGGTGGGAAATATAGTGATATGGTAGTGATATGGTAGCAGAAAAAGTTCTATCTTTACAAAATATTTCCTAATATCCAACTTAAATGCTTTCTGGCTTAAAAATTTAAACATTTTGGTTATAAAAAGTAATAAATGCTGGGCTCAGGGGCACACACCTGTAATCCCAGTAACTTGGGAGGCTGAGGTAGGAAGATTGCAAGTTCAAGGCCAGTTTGGGCAACTTTATCAAGATTCTATCTTAAAATTGAAAAATAAAAAGGGCTGGGGATGTAGCTCAGAGTGCTCCTGGGCTCAATTCCCAGCAAAAACACACATACACACACACACACAATAGTACATATACCTTAAAGAAAAAATCTGGAACCTAGAGAGAAACATGGATTTTTTTTTAAATTTAAGTAAATTAATAACCTGGTATTTGGAGCAGTGATCCACTATGGTAGTCTTCCTGCCTCCTTCTCCACACCCAATGCATCCGAGGTGCCTACCTGGTTCCCCTGAGCCATTGCTGTTCCTCTCACTCTCCCCATCTTCCTGGCCGTCTGCGTTCTGCTGTGTGTGCTGTAGGCTCAGCTTGTGGCAGACCTCAAAGGCTTGCCCCACCGTCCGGACGATTCGCATAGCTTGGCTCTGGGGAAGAGGAAGGAGAAGGACGAGTGAAGGCTACGGTGACTCTACAAGGACACAAGAAGGGGTGCGGGTGGGTGGGAAGTGCAAGGGGCATGTGATCAAAAACCCAGGAAACCAGCAAAGGAAAGAGATGGAATATCCTAAGGTTGTTCAGATGTGTACATATTCAGAAAGAAGAGTACAAAAATACTTTCCCTTCTTGAAATACTCCAGAAAATAGAAACTGTCACCATAGTTTTGAAACAATCAATCAACGGAAAGGACATATGCTGAGAAATATACCAATTCTAGACTTAGCCCCAACTCTTTCCTTCTAAGTATAAGCATATTAATCAATATGCTTCAACATCATTTTGCCAACCATTATCAAGTGTTTAATAGGCCCATCAAACCAAGAGGAACTCAGCTGTTTCTTTCTCCAGATGTCATATTTCCTAGGAGCTCTGTAGACCTTGGGCTGTGATGCTCTGGGGCTTGGAAGCCTTGGCCTAACATCAGAGTCAACTGACACTTTGCTAACTAAGGCCAAGGTGAGCTTTCCGAGGCTTACTCTAATAAGATATTGCTCACTTGGATGGCTATTTTCTCCTGTTTTACTGTTTAACCTCTTCTTTTAGGAGCCAAAGAAGAGAACTAGCCCCTGACTCCCAGTGTCCCACTGCTTAACTAGGAGAGGAGGGGAGGACAAAGAAACCTGTTCCCAGAGTCTTCGGCAACACCTGCAGGCAGTGAGGAAGAGGCACAGGCAGGGTTCTCAGGACAGGGTCTCAAAGGTGGATCACTTACTCTAATCTGATGACTCGTCACCTTTCAACCTTCTTTCAAGGAGTAAAAATGAGACAACTATGAGATACGGAGTTTCAGAGCTCAGGCTGGGAATGTTCCACATGCTCTTACCCCAGTGGCTCTCAAATATTCCACCACAGACTTCAGATATATCACTGTGATTGTCACCCAATAACCCAGCCTAACATCAATCATGTTTGGGGTGATCTGACTTTAGATTAGTTGTGACTACCTGATGATATCATACAGTCCACTGATCACATTTGAAACTCCCAAGGTAACATCAGAAGTCAAAAAGAACTTTTTTGTGCAGGGGTGGGGGTACTGGGAATTGAATAGAGTGCTTAACCACTGAGCCCATCCCCAGCCCTTTTTTATATTTTAGAGACAGGGTCTTGCAGAATTTCTTAGGGCCTTGCTAAGTTGCTTTAAACACAATTCTCCTGCCTCGGCTGAGCCACTTGTAATCCCAAGCCACTGGGATTACAGGCGTACACCACTGTGTCCGGCAAGAGGAGCCTCTTAAAAGCATGAGGTAATTGGTATTGCAGTATAACCTGCTACCCAGTGTTTTGGTAAATTTATAGAACCTGTTTAAGGGTAAATAAATGATTCATTTATACTTGTCATAATAATGAGATTTGTTCTCACTGTTATCTTCATGAATTCCTCAGGCCTTGGAACACCACATATGGACTGCTGCTTGAATCCAGTCTCTGCTAAACTTGTTACCCTTGCTTGTTTCCTCAGGCCTGGGGTAACTTCTATGTTCCTTCCATTTACTTCAGGCCAAAACATTCCCTAATAAAGGCATTAGGTCAATCATTGTCCACATGTTGTTTTAAGATTTCCATCTTCTTCTAGTCCTCTTTATATTCCCCAACTCAAACAACCTTCTAGCAGTGACTGTCTTACAATTTAAACTTCTTAGCTTGCTTGGGCATGGTGTTACACAACTATAATCCCAGCAATGTGGAAGGCTGAGGCAGGAGGATCCCAAATTTGAGGCCAGGCTTCAGCAACTTTGTGAGACTATCTCAAAACTTAAAAAGCTGAGATGATGTGTCTTGTTGGTAAAGCCCATCTGGGTTCAATCCCCAATACCAAGAGAGGGGGAACAAACCCTCTTACCTCAAAAGTGTTTTTTGTTGTTTGTTTGTTTGTGGTGATAGGAATCAAACCCAGAGCCTTATGCATGCCAGGCAAACATTCTACCACTGAGCCACATTCCCAGCCCTAGACAGATATTTTTAACTGATCACTCAGTTAAGAGACATGGGTGATGGGAAACTTAAGTGAAACAGGAGACAGGTAAGTGTCTTGAGGTCCCCCATCACCTGGTGGTGGATCAGAACCTCTGCTCTCAGTGTTCACCCTTAATTCCCTCCTGGGTCCAAAGGGCAGGCCTAGGCCCCTTCTCAAACCACAGGCTTGCAGTATCTGAGATACAACTATTCTTTCTGCTCAGGAAGTTGAGAATTAGTAGGCACCAGTACTAAGCAAGGTGTCCCTGCTCTTCCACTTCCCCAACATGGGAACAGGTGTGATTTGAAGGACATGATGCCTAACCAGCTAGGCCAGGAACATCCCAGCTTCTACATCTCCTTTGGACACCAAGCTGAGCCCTAGTTAGGAGGCTGGGCCAGGAAGCTCAACTCTCTGATGGAAAAGAAGACGCTGGTCCACCCCAAAGTGTTATTCACACACATCTAGCCAGATCTTTGGTCCCTTACTCTTATTATCGGAAGATAGTTAATCCTAATCTTTTACAGGAAAGCTTATTACTAGTATCAAGTAATGTCTCCTCTGCCATACAGAGGGATCAATAAGTAGATATATGATGGCACCTCCCACAGGGATAGGCATATAGTAAGTGTTCAAGAAATGCTTTATTCTGAATATGTAACTCACTGCAATAAAAAGCAATTAAAACACAAAATAAAAGGTAGTTAAGGAAAGCCCAGGATTAATTTATTAATGACAGAAGCGTAAAGATCCTAAGGGAATCACTTCTTCATACATATGCTGGCATCAAAAGGGTGAGTGCCACCATCTCCCTCCTTCCCAACAGCATCTGAGGAGAACTCCTGGGTCCACTGTATCTTGGGTCTGAACTGGTACAATGGTTTCCATGTAGGAGGGTATTGTTGGACGTGACTTCTAGGCTTGCACATTTCATTTCAACTTATCTTCTACTTTTCTTTGATGCGAAGGCTGTTGTCATTCACAGTAAAAGGACACAGTAGCATGTTCTGTGAGATATCTCTGCACTTGAAGAGGTTACTGGGTGGATAAGCAAACTATCTGCTTTACAGAATGACGAACACACATAAAAGAACCATCCTCCTCATTTATCACTCTAGGAGCAAAAGGGGCTGGATGACTCCTAACTTGATCCTTAAATGGCTACATGAGTTTAAATGCCCCTTGACTTTCTAGGCTCTCCTTCCTTCACCAGTGAAAAGTCTACTTTTAGAGGTTTGACACGAGAATCTTGTTATGGAAGCAATTACTTGAAGGTGGTGGGTTTGGTGATCTGCCCCTGGCAGGGGCTGGCCCTCTTCCATTTGCTCTCTGCACAGCCCTGTGGGCTCCTGATGCTAGGTCTTCTGCTCTTGGTGATGCTGATTTTCTAGGCTAGAAAACTGACTCTGCCTTATACCCTGGAAGGCAGGAGTCACACATGCTGGGAATTAATAGTTAATAAGCCATGTTTAGACTCGAGGGAGAACTCTGATAAAGAGAAGCTTTAAAAACAACTTTCAGAGATTTCTGTGAATACTTGTTTTTGGGGGTTACCTTGTTCTCACGGAAGCAGTTGCTCACATCTCGTGACCATACGCAGGCCTTTGGAAATCAAAGTGGAGGTTTAAAGATTGAAATTGAAGATAACCAGGGAAAAAGCTGAACCACAAGTGGATTGTTAGGAAGGCAGCCTTTGCCAGTTTCAAGATCTGGCCACTCTGGAATTTAACAGATTATTATTATTTTTTATTAAAGCATCATTATACTGTAGTATACTGCATGTAATTTTTGTACAAATCCAGATTAGTTTTATATAAGCCCTCGAAAGAGCTTTGCCACATGGATCAAATCTTTCTGTTCAAAAGCCATTTTCTATTAGTAGCCCCAAAGCATGAGTGGGCTTTTAGTTACTGAGATTAGCCTGGAGACGGTTGCTTTGATGTTTCCAAAGCTGGAAAGGAATATCTAACCTCAGAGTGACTCTTAGCTGCAGATGGAGAGCACTGAAGCTCATGGGAGCACCAATTACAGGCAATTTTGTAAAAATAGGGATGGAAAGGAAGCTGTCTTAGAACTTTATTCAACTAACTCTCTCCATGTTTCTCAGAGTGTTTCTTTAAATCATCTTCCTGTTCATGTTGACAAGATCCCCTTCTCTCCCATACCCAGGATATCCCACAACTCAGGACAGAAACCAAGTCAAGATGTAATGGCTATTAATTGGATACCAAGCCTACTATGGACACCAAATGGATACATAGCCGACATCAAAATTTGATGAATTGCTGCAATGAACACAAAAACAATACCATATTTGCAGTGAGAGTGAGTTGTCTACTCAAAAATAGTCAAAAGCTTATAGTAGTAACTTTAACTACATGAAAATCAAAAGGTTGCTTCCTGTACTTCACCAGTCCATAGAAAAATTATCATAGTTGGGCACAGTAGTGTGCATCTGTAGTCCCAGCTACTTGGGAGGCTAAGATGATCTTAAACCCAGAAGTTTGAGATCAGCCTGGGCAACACAGTAGGACCCTGCTTAAAAAAAATCATAGTATTTTTTGTTCGCATTCTAAGTAACCCTGTTGGTCCTATAAACTTTGGAATCTTGTAAGTGCTATATACATGTTATAGAATAGTTGTTTCTAGGGCTGTAGCTCAGTGGTAGTGCACTTGCTGATATATCCTCAGGTTATATCCTCAGCATACATGAGATCCCAAGCTTGAACCTCAGCATCTCTCTCTCTCACACACACACACACACACACACACACACACACACAAACACACACACTGGTTATTACTAGTCTTTATCTTTGGCTGATGTAATAAATCATCTTGGGCATTTTTCTGAATTTCACTATCCTGAAAAAAAGCTCTCTATTTCACAATTTTTTGGAGATGATTAAAGAAGTCATCAGATAAGCAAGGAAATTAGAAAACAAAAGCACAAAATACAAGGTGTAAAT